TGATGATTTAGTTATGAATTTTTAAAGTTTCGCCTCAGACAACTTTAATTTCCAGTTCAGGATTTTAAGTGTGTCACGGGTGAAACGGACGAAAAACGGAAGCCTTCTGGATATCATACACGCGTGGAATGTGAAACCAAAATGAAGCTAATGAAATTATTGAACCGATACCACCAGAACCAATGCAATACGACAAAATTGATCGAGATGTGAATTTTTGAACGTCGCCAAAAATAATATCCGTCACTATTTTTATACTGAACAATTCCTCAGAAATCCGTAACTTGCAACACCTTCCCTAAGGAATTAGCTCTCAGCCATAAAAGATGAAATGTAGATGACATCGAGACGGAATTTCAGCCATCGGAACGGACTTCAAACAGAGAACGATGAATTTATTGGCGTTCAAAAACTGCACATTCAGCACATTTTTTGCATTATATTTTCCCCTGTGCATCTTCTGATGATTCGCCCGTTTGGGCACTTTCCTTGAGGAATTGACTTTTGGTTCGAACGTAAGAGTTGGAGAGGATATCAAGAAAGACTTTCCGATATAAAACCCACTCCGAGACGATAAACAAGATCGGACTTAGGAATTTTTTAATATCCACAAGACGGTGAAACGACAATTAATTCAAGTTACCACCTTCAAGCAAATAAATTTCTTGGATGCTTTCTTCACAGAATTAGTCCTTGACCTGAATGTGAGGGTTACTAATAAAACCGAGAAGTCTCAGTACTTGAGGAATCTGTTGAATATGCCGAATCAAATCCAAGTTATAAATTCCCAAATGTCAGGGGAAGAAGTAACCAAAAATTAAATCCAACACCACTTCAGAGAAATCGAATTATTTGGAGACGTTCTACTCATAATTAATTTCCAGCATGAATACATGGTGAAGAGAATATCAAGATAATTCAGATGCTTGAAGAATCAGCTCGAGACGATACTCCAGTTGCAAATTGTGAATTCTCAAGTCTGAACCAGTAAAACATTGTTTCTGATTTACATTGTTTCAAATTTGCCGAGACGCCTGATTTCTTTGGAATAAGCCTAAAAAAAAGTCCTATGATCCCATAGTCACTGATACATGCAATTGCAAATGACCTATTAGATGATATGCATATGAAAAATGCAAGATGCATAAGCCAGGTAGTCCTTAAAAAGGAGTAGGACAAATTTGGGGTATTACAACTGCCCTTATTTAATCGTCTTAAACCTAAAAGTACGATTGGCACATGCCTTTCGGATGTTCGAGGTAGAAGATAATTAAATATCAATGCCAAAAATTTGTTCTGGGAGAAAGTGTGGCGAGGTTATTTATTTTTGTGATATCTACTGGGGAAAGATTCTTTTTGTTTTCTAAAGAGAAGACGGAGATTGGACTTGTAATTTAGCAACATAGGCTAATACAAGAGAAAGGTAATGACCTGTAATATGGCGGTGATGTCAATACAAGGAAAACGATTGGTATGAAAAGACGACGGATAAGAAATACGGGCGACCTACGATCCTAAGGTGAAACATAAGAGCAATCTGTCGGAGAACTAGGCCTATGGGCAACCTCAGAATTCTAAAACAAGATCTATGGGGAGAACCTAGCCTACGGGTGATCTCATATTCTAAGATGGAATATCATCTACTGGAGAACTAGGCCTATGGACGACCTCAGAATTCTACGATGAGACATCAAGGCAATATGTCAGAGAACTGGGCCTTTGGGCGACCTTAGAATTCCAAAACAAGATCTATAGGGAGAACCTAGCCTACGAGCGACCTCAGGTTCTAAGATGATCTAGGGAGAACCTAGCCTACGGGAGATCTCAGGTTCTAAGATGATCTTTGGAGAACCTATCCTACTGGATATCTTAGGTTCTAAGATGATCTATGGAGAACTTAGCCTACGGGCGATCTCAGGTTCCAAGATGATCATAGGGAGAATCTAACTTATGGGCCATCTCAGGTTCTAAGATGATCATTAAGGAGAACCTAGCCTATGGGTGATCTCAGGTTCCGAGATTATCTATGGGGGGAACCTAGCCTACGGGCGATCTCAGGTTCTAAGATGATCATATGGAGAACCTAGCCTACAGGTGATCTCAGGTTCTAAGATGATCATAGGGAGAACCTAACCTACAAGCGATCTCAGGTTCTAAGATGAGACCTACAGGCGATCTACCAAAAACTAGGCCTACGGGCAACCTGCAAGGAAATCTAGATCTATGGATGATCTACCAAAAAACTCGGCCTACGGGCGACCTACGGGGAAATCTAGATATACGGGCGATCTAAAATCCTAAGGTAAGACCTACGGGCGATCTACCAAAAAACTAGGCCTACGGGAGACCTACGGGGAATTCTAGATCTACGGATAATATAAAATCCTAAGGTAAGACCTACGAGTGATATACCAAAAAACTAGGCCTACGGGCGACCTACGAGGAAATCTAGATCTACGGGCGATCTAAAATCCTAAGGTAAGACCTATGGGTGATCTACCAAAAAATTAGTCCTACGGGCGGCCTACGAGGAAATCTAGATATACGAGCGATCTAAAATCCTAACGTAAGACCTACGGGCGATCTACCAAAAAATAGGCCTACAGGCGACCTACAAGGAAACCTAGATCTACGGTCGATCTAAAATCCTAAAGCAAGACCTACGGTCGATATTCTAAGGGAGACCTACGTGCGATCTGTCAAAAACTAGGCCTACGGGCGACCTACAAGGAAATCTAGATCTAGGGGCGATCTAAAATCCTAAAGCGAGACCTATGGTCGATCTGCTAAGGGAGACCTATGAGCGATCTACCAAAAACTAGGCCTACGAGCGACCTACAATTCTAAGAAGGTAGGAATATTGATTACGACACGATGATTGAAGACGCGAGAATGACCAAGTGTATTGTATTTGCTAGGACTCAAAGGACAAATAGACATAGACGAGCGTTTGGAATACTGACACAGACGAGTGTTTAGAGGAATGATAGAGACAAGCTTTTGAAAAGCTAGCACAGACAAGCATTTAGAGAACTGACACAGGCGGATGTTTATAAGACTGACACTGCTAACTGGATATCATAATATAATGAAGGACGTCAGCTGAAGGTTGGGGAGCGACATCCTCTTGCGGGGATATATTGGTGTCTTTGAAGGATTCAAGTTTTTTGTGTAAGGTACGCAATCTGGCTTATGCTTCGTATGCATGTTTGAGTTTCTTTTTCCGCAAAGATCCATTCTGATGGATCAGCTACGCGCTTTTAAAGATGCAATGTTATGGAGCGATAACTATATGCAATGCAAAGAAATAGACTTCATGAGGATAAGCTAAGGCTCGTTGGGAACTGTTGCTCATCACCGGGGATGCCAATACATATCGGAGCTGGAAAAATGCAGTACCAAAGATTACTGGGGATACTTATAAGTATTTGCATTGGGGAGCTTATGATACCGAAGATTATGGATGACTCTGCTGAAGATTGAATTGCTGATGAAGCGAGTTTTCAAGTACGCTACTGAATTTTGAATTATACGTTTAAGGAAGAGATAATCTGACCCGACTTCCATACATCATGAACCATTGAGAGGATGGTAAGACTGAAAATGCTGAGGAATATATACTGAACACCATGTGGATCTCTTCGAATACATGCCTCAAGTTTATGCCACACTGTGGAATTAGCTCTTAAATCACTTGGGGATAAAAAGATGGGCATGGACACCTGCGAATGCCTCAGTTTACTCCACAAGTGCCCCGGTTTACTCCACTGGGGATGCCCCAGTTCAGCTCTGTGAATGCCCCGGTTTAGCTCTCGGGGGACGTGCACTTGCACGCGCCAAGTCAAACGATGACTGCGGACTTTTTAAATTCACCTAGGGAATCATGTTTGAAATCTTTTGTACCAGATGAAGGAAACTTTACGCATTAGCTAGGTCGGGGTGGTTGTTATGATGCTTTTAGCTTGATTGTAGTCGTCTCGTACAACATAATTGGCTTGAGCAGATTTGCAAGTACAAATGAGGAATGCCCCTGTCTGAAGATCTCTGAGAGGATCTATGCTGAATGGAAGACCAGAATGTCTGTGGCACAATACAATATGAGGTGGCCTGCCCCAATATTTTGAGTCACGAAATAAATTTCTCTTGATTACAACTTTCTTGGAGAGATTTTTCAAATCTCGACGTAACTGCCTCAGGTTGAATGAATTTTGAATAGGTTTCTCAACGTGATAGCCTCTGATTGATGGAAACTTGAGATTTACCGACGTGGTAGATTCTGATTGATGGATACTAAGTTTAGAAGTGTGATGTTTATGAAATAGGATTTTAATTATTTATTAGGGGAAAATGGTTTGAATTTTAGATATGAGGACTCACAACAATTTTTGATCATATGCCTATGTATCCTCTTAGGAGGAATCAGAGTCTCATTTGTAGTTCGCGGGGTTGTTTGTATGGATTACAGAATATATTTGAATTTCTCGTATACAGTTTGTTTGGACCAAGTACGCAGTTAATTCAAATATATTCGTATTTCTTTTCGAAAATTAATGTTGAATTAATTTATTACGAAAAATAATTTAGATGTTTGTCGGAGTATTTTTTTATACGTATAGCGAAAGAGTTTAATATAGTCTCCTCATTACGTGGCCAGATATTGGTCACATATCACTTGCGGATGGTGAATTTAGTGAATTGTGTGGATTTTAATTGTTTGTAGAATATTCAGTTAATTTTCTTGTGAAAAAGGAAAGTGTTGAGGTGAATTTATGAATTTAATAAAAAAAAAAACTAAAATTACGCAACTTAAAGATTTGTCTAATGAGATAAGAGCGTGTTTAGTATTTTATATTTTTTATATTTAAGATTTAATAAAAAAATTACACTAAAACAAATGAATTAATCTTAAATATTAAATATTAAATATGTAAAATCTAAAAATGAGTATAAATAGAGAATGTATATAAATTTGGCCTAACATTGACCCAAGACCATTATCTCTAATCCCTAATTATATTATGACAATGATAATTAAAAAACGACACAATAAAAATAAACAAATAAAAATATAGAAAAATTAACAAAAATAAGAAAACACTAAATAACAAGGAAAATAACCCAACAAGAGCTCTTTCCTCTTGGTTCGTTAAAATCCCAATAAAGGGATTAAATTGAAAAAAGTAACGTATCAAAATCCCCAAACACACAAACATTTCCCTTTCTCTGACCTCGTTCTTATTGTTCTCCTTCTACCTTTTCTCAACACAAGCTCTTCTCTTCCATCAATACCCTAACACAAAAATCACACCAACATACATATATGCATCCCCAAAATCATAAAAAACAAGAACATGAAATCGAAAGTGGTGGCGATGAAGAGATCTGAGAGAACGGTAGTTAAGTATTGTATCTGCATGATGCTGTGTTTTGAATCGTTGTAAATGAATGTAAAGCTGGAACGAAAGCTCATTTGGTTGTTTTTAATGAGATTTGAACAGTGAACATTTTTTGGCTTTATTGGGCCAATGCTAATTTTTTACTACCCAGCCCAACAGCATTGTTTTTTTATTACAGCAAAAAAAATAATCTTTAATTCAATTGGGCCTTACATGTTTATAGGCTTCATCTAGTCAACGCATTTTTCTTATTACGGCAAAAAACCAGTTTTTGGGCTTTGCACTAATAATTTTTTACTCAGCCTAATACATTGTTTTTTACTTACAGCAAAAAAAAAGTCTTTAATTCAATTGGGCCTTGCACGTTTATTGGCTTCATCTAGCCAACGCGTTTTTCTTATTACAGCAAAAAAAAACAGTTTTTGGACTTTGCACTAATAATTCTTTACTCAACCCAATACATTATTTTTTACTTACAGTAAGAAAACATTTTTTTTAATTCAACCCATCTAATTTAATTATCTCTAAGCAAAACCTTTTATTATTAAAAAAATTATTTATTAACATTACAAACTTAATTAATAAAAATTAAACCAATAAATATTTTGTTCAAAATACAAAACGGACTATCATCAATTTTTTGACGAACCCTTTCTTTGTAATTCTGATTGAGCCTCAATTGGCCCAAACATTGACCTCCCTTTTTTACTGTTCAAAAAATGAAATGGACCAAATTTTGATGTGTTTTATATTTTAATGGGCTTTAATGTATTTAATTTCAACTAATAATAAACTCAAGTTGACTTTAAGAATTAAGGACTTAATAATTACTTGAATAATTTTTCATTTTCGAATTGCATGGGCCATAGGTCAACCTGCTTCGCGAATGGGTTTACAGACATATGAGTCTTTCTGATTTAAAAAGCTCTATTTTCCTGAATTAAAATATACCCCTCTTACTGATTTAAATTCTTCTTAAAAAGTAGGCCAATAGATATTGCTGGACCATCTTTAATTAAATATTTCTTCTATTTTAAAATCTTGAAAAATATGATCATCGAGGTAGGGAAAATTTGGGGTATGACAGTTGCCCCTATTTAATTATCTTTCAATTAAATAGTGTGAGAATACGTCGGTCTCGCACATTTTGATTGGAAGTTTATTAAATATTGGAAGACCCCAACATTTTCCCGGAAGATTTACAAGGATACGCTGTGCAACATTCTCATGGGTGCGAAGAATAGGTACAGATGATGATGTATCATCTTACCAGCGTTTGGAGCAGAGTTTTTGATAGAATGACAACGCGGATGACTCGTCAGTCTAACAGAGATTACAGAACTCGTATGTTTACCGTAACCTGGGAGGTAAATAATACAAGTTTAAAAAGCTGAATTACTAATGTTAGGAGACTAATATAGAAAATTTTGATCTGATTTGATTTTGCATATTCATCGAAACCTAGGGAATGAATAAAAAAAAGTCGGATAACACATTGCTGCATGGAGACTAGTGCAAAGAGTTATATCGCAGGAAAAATTGATAACAAACATTGCTGCATTGAGACTGATGCAATGAGTTATGTCGAGGAAGAAACTATGATGGTGACATTGCTGCCTGGAGACTAACGCAATGGATTATACTGTGAAAAAAAGCTTGATAAAAATATTGTGGCATGGAGATTGATGCAGTAGATAAAATATGGTAAAAGCATTATTGCATGGAGACCAACGCAATGGAAGGAATTTGGTAATGACATTGCTTCATGGAGACTGATGCAACAAATTATATTATAGATTGGGAAACACGTTGCTGCATGGAGATTGACGCAATGAGTTAAACTGTAGATTCCGTACATTACTGCATGGAGCCTGACACAATGAACTATTTCGCAGAAGAAACTTGACATTGCTGCCTGGAGACTGATGCAATGGATTATGTCGCAAAAGAAAGTTTAATAACAAAACTGTTGCATGGAGACTGATGCAATGGAAAAGGTTTGATAATGACATTTCTGCATGGAGACTGACAAAATGGGTTGAATTACAGATTTTGCACATTGTTGCATGGAGCCTGACACAATGAGCTAGATCACAAAGGAAGAACTTACGGTTGCATGGAGACTGACACAATAAGTTTAATGTAGAAAATTTCACACATTATCGCATAGAGACTGATACAATGGATGGAATTGCTAATTTCGCAACACTGCTGCTTGGAGTCTAACATAATGAGCTAGACCGCAAAGGAAGAACTTATTGTTGCATGGAGACTGACACAATAAGTTTAATATAGAAAATTTCACACATTGTCGCATAGAGACTAACATAATGGGTGGAATTACTGATTTCGCAACATTGTTGCCTAGAGTCTGACACAATGAGCTAGATCGCAAAAGAAGAACTTATTGTTGCGTGGAGACAGACAAAATAAGTTTAATATAGAAAATTTTACACATTGTCGCATAGAGACTGACACAATGGGTGGAATTGCTGATTTTGCAACATTGCTGCCTGGAGTCTGACACAATGAGCTAGATCGCAAAGAAAGAACATATTGTTGCATGGAGACTAACACAATATGTTTGAATATAAATGAAGTTATTTTGAATGATCCATATCTTAGTTAACTAAAGCTGAGACGAGAATGGATTTTGCTGGTTATTTGTTTCTAACCAAGGTAATAATCGATGGAGGGCCAAAAGATATGGGTTTCGCCCAAAGTATGTTTGGATAAATGCCATGTATGATGTATGTGCATGATGTCTTAGATCAGTATGTGAAACAACTGTCCGAACCGTCATCCGATATATGAAATATCAATAAAGTCGCCACTGAACGTCCTTTATCCCGCCAAAAGGGAAAGGTAAACATCGAGAAAACCTGAAGAGGGAGAAATTACGGTCCTGCGACTGAGAGATCGGGTAAGGGAATCTATTACGCAAGGGGAAGGTGTTAGTACCCCACACGCCCGTAGTACTCTATGGTATCCACTCTTGTTGTCTAATATATTAGGTGTGTAAAATCTATGTCTAGGCTGTACAAGGATCGCTTGGGTCCTACCCCAATGCCTACGTATCCCTTTTAAGGAATCAGAGCAACCGTAGTTCGGCTTATATATTTTGGTTGGTTTGTGTTTTTTAGTTAAGAAAATAAAAGCAACAAACAAGATGGCAAAACATCAGATTGAAAAACAAAAATGTCAACAATGAAGATAAAATAGCAAAAAGATATGACAAGACATCACATGGAAACACAAACTCATATAAGGTGGTAATACACCAGCACGATAGCAAAATATCATACAAGATGATGAAACATTACACCTAACAATGATATTGAAAATCAAAGTAGGATAACAAAAAAAAAGTGCGATGGCGAAACATCAGCTACAAACATATGCGATGGCGTAAAATCGGCTAAAAGATAGGAAGATAACATGGCAAAGATGGCGAAACATCAATAAACTAGATGACAAAACATTACACCTAACAATGATATTGATAATCAAAGTAGGATAATAAACATATGCGATGGCGAAACATCGGCTAAAAGAATATGCAATGGCGAAACATCGGCAAAAGAATATGCGATGGCGAAACATCAGCGAAAAGATGTGCGATTGCGAAACATCGACTAAAAGATGGAAAGATAACATGTCAAAGATGGTGAAACATCAATAAACCAGATTACAAAACATCACACCTAACAATGATATTGAGAATCAAAGTAGGATAACAAACATATGTGATGGCGAAACATCGGCTAAAAGAATGTGCAATGGCGAAACATCAACAAAAGAATATACAATGGCGAAACATCGGCAAAAAGAATATGCAATGGCGAAACATCTGCAAAAAGAATATGCGATGGAGAAACATCAGCTAAAAGATGGCAAGATAACATGGCAAAGATGGCGAAACATCAATTTTGACAAGGTTTAAAACAAAGCAAAAAGGCACACACACAACTAAGATTGGTTTGTATTTTTTACTTCGAAGAAGGATTTAAGTTTATTAGAGATATTTTATGATTTTCCAAGAAGAAGTTTTAGTTTTAAGATGCAAGAATGCAAAGGAAAAGAAAACGACTAAGAGAGACTCTCTTAATCTCTAGCCCTAATGTTATCATACAATGATTGACCTTAAGGTTAAGGATGAAAGAGGGAAATTTCTACCCTATGTTAGCATACATGGATTCCTATCCTAAGGTCTAGCTCAAGGACTAACCCTACACGAGCAATCATAGGGGAGCATGGTAAATACCAAACAAGTGAGCAAACAAGTGCTTTGGCTAGAAAAGACTTGTCTGTTGGTTGACTTTAAACAAGGAAACAAGTCGTCATTGTTAGGAGAGAAATCTCGACTAACGTCTACAAGGTGTGGGAAAGATGGACCCCGCGTCAGCAAGAGTGAGGGTTTGAGAACGCCTCTAGTACACAAGTGGAAAAGTCGACACCTTTATAACCATGGGGATAGGAGAATGTTGCTCGACTATCAATGAATCATGTCTTATCTCGAAAAAAAGTTTTGAAGGGTAAAGGTGCTTGAACGCACAAAAGAGTTTGAATGAGATGAAGTGTTTTTATTAATTTGAAAGATGTCAAAGTATGATTAAATGAATTGAAGTTTGTTTAAAGAAAAGAAGTTTTAAAAGAAAAGGAACTCGACAAAGTCGAGGTTTATTGTGAAAGCGGTTCGAGTTTATAAACAAAGAAGATTTTGAAAAAAAGATGAGAAAGTTTTGAAAATTAAAGAAATGGAGAAAAGAATGTCCTATGTACAGGAGGGTAAAAGATAAGGTAAAGAGGATCCGACC